TGTTCACAGTCTGGGAGTAGTAACTTTGGAGCTGTGTTTTAAGCATGGCCCGCCCTCGGTCACAGATCCAGGCGCCCCCCACCGGCAGGCTCCCGCCAGGCACGTTCTACGGATGCTCTGCAGCGCCAGCTGGTGGCTGGAAAGTTCTAACCCCGGAGCCCTGGAAACTGTCCTGATAAACCTAAATTATGGTGCCCCAAAATGGGAGAGAAATGAGCAACAAATAAAGGTTCCATTCCAGAAGTGTTTTCTGGTGGAAAACAGCACGAGGTGTGTCTTCAGAGCTCTGTTCTGTTCCAAGATGAAATCTGGGGAGGGTCTGAGAGGAGGGTCTCAGGAGAGCGCTAACTGCAGCAGCCCTTCCCCAGAAGGACGTCCTCATCTCCAACACACACCCCCCCCCCACTCCCACCCCAGGGTCCGGGGGAAAGCTGTGGCTCCATCTGACGTGGCTCCACAGGCCTCCTGCCTCTCACGTGGGTAGGCGGCTTCCCGCAGCCCCGGTTTGAGGCCTTCTTCACTCTGCTTCTCCATCCATTCTCCGAGGCTGCTTCCAGATGGACTTGCCATGCACTCTGCCTGCCCTCCTTCCCCCACTGCATCCCTAAAGAGGGAGGTCTCTGGCTCCTGTGTCAGTTATCAGTCTGTGTGCACAGACTGGGTCTGAGGACATTTCTAGAGGGCACCCAGAGAGGCTGACGTGTGACCCGCACTCGAGAAGGCGGAGGGGAAACAACACAAACAGGAACACCGTGGACACAGCCGGCAGAGAAGCCCCCGAGGGTCTGGTGGGAAGCGTGAGGATCCTGTGTCCCGCAGCCCCTCCCTGGCCTTCCCCCTGGGTCTAGGGCATGGCTACTGCAGACTGATGTCTGGGTCTCCTTAGACTTCCCCGCTTCTTCCCTCACCCCCAGGGGTGTCTCTTAGCTTAATAATTCAAGGAGGCTGGATCATGAGAAGGAATCGGTATTAGCATGATTAGCTCTTTGTGCTTATTTACTCTGCAGTAAAGAGGCTGGAAGGCCTGGGCCCCCTCCTGCTAATGACGGTGAGGACGTCTGCACTGTATGGATCCATCTTCACCCACCTTCCAGAACTAAGACCCCCAGGCCCAAGAGGAACTCCTCCAGGACGGAGTAACATCTGGGATGCCAAGAGGGAGAAATGTGTACCTGACCCAAAGGTGCCACAGCTCTGGGTTTGGCTCAGGCACCTTTGGCCTTTGGCAGGCGACCAGTGCAATCGCACAAGGTCCATTGCTCAAAGGGGCCCACGCCTGGGGTCATCTTGAATTTCTCAATAATCTTGTCTTTGGATTTGTATTTTGTAAGCAAATCTGATGGGACAGTGGAGGATGTGCCAGGGCCTTGGAGCCTTGGTTCATGCAGGGTCCACCTCCCCATTGTCACAGGACAGGTTCTCAGCAGATGGCTCCCTGTCCCTGCCCACTGAGCTGCAGCTGCCTCTGCTGGGATGGTGACCTGGGCGTGGGTAGGGCCGGCGTCCGGCATGCACCCATGTCCGGTGCACGGCAGGGCTAAGCCTCCATGAGGGTCTGCTCCTGAAGGACCCATACTGAATAGCAAATGCAAACACTATGATAGGCAGAGAGAGAGAGAGAGAGACGCCGAGGAAAGAAATTGAACTTTTCCCCTTATTTTTGGACAAAGGGGCCTGTTCTTTCATTTTGCACGGATCCAGAAAAATCATCCAGCTGACCTCCAAATTCCAGACTCACGGGAGCTGCATATGGATCGCCAGCAGCTGTGGGGCAATTCCTGGCAGCCTTGAAGTTCTAGGTCATTTGGGGAACCTTGCATTTTCTCTTTCTGCAGTTGTCCACAGGCTCACAACTCATGCAGGGGGATGCAGGAAACAGGGAGCAGGCCCAGTGCTCACCAACCTGGGTAGCCACACAGTCACATGCCAATCCATATATCCCAGATGAGTAAGCACAGGTGGTGGGAGGAGTCAGGTCCTGATGAATCTTAATACTTCCATCCCACTCATCTTTTCTTCTCGTGCCTTCTGCACCCTTCTCTGATAACTCACATATAGAAACCCACTGCTTTTGCCAAGAGAACTGGTTAGGATTATTGCATTATAATGTTTAAGCCAATGTTCAGCTCTGAAAATAGAAGTCCAGACATGCCTCTTATATATCTGCCAGGTGACACAATGGCCCAGCTTCCGGTGGGGCGTTCATCTGTCTATATGCCCACAGAAGCCACAGATATGGCCCCAGAGCAGAGTGGCTTCTGTAGAGGTGAGGATTGGTTGGTGGACGATATGAAGAGGAAAACAATTCGTAGACCGAGGAAGCTGTTGAAGATGCTGGAAAAACAACACAGCTACAAAATGACATACAAAATCTGGGAATAGATCAAAATGTGTTGCTAATTCTACAACGCTCTAAACATCACAGTTCAATTTTGTGAGTTCACTTAGCATGCTTGCTGTCAGCCCTGAAGTTAAAAATATTCATCTTCATGGGAGATATCACTCTGGCCGGTGACATTTTATAAAGGCTCCTTCAATAAAGTCATATTCAATCAAATCTCAAGAAACATTTGCTAACATCACAGTTAAAAGGAGCTATTGGCTGAAGGACTAAACCTAAACACATCAAAAAGGTCAAACACTAGTTTCATCTTGAACAGACATCTTCTGCAAGGGGACTTCTGCAAGCTGTCCATGCAATAAGCTATCGCAATGTTGCCTGTTCTCACCACCAAGGTCTTCGGTGCGAAGAATGTAGGATGTTCCACTTTCTTGAAGTGGGAACACCAGGTTCTAGAAAGAGCTTCAGAGGGGCTTGAAGAGGAAAGGCAAGGCTTCTGTGTACAAGTTCTAAGATTTGAACAGCACAGCTCAAACCAATTTTGTTTTCAGATTCTCCAATCACCACCCCTCTGATGGATCGCCCCTGTGAAATCAAAGCCAGACTGTACCTCAGTTTCAAGCAATAAAACAACTTTAGATTTTGGCTCTGATATCTGGAGAACTTGCAGACTGAGACTCCCCCAACATGGCCTTGCTGGGCCCTGAAGGCAGATAGCTGAATGCATCTCTGTGTGCTCACGTATTTCTCAGAGCACATCTGCATATCCTATGAGGGCCTTAGCCTAATATCTAGCACTCCCTCTAAATTAGGCACAGAGGGAGCGGGATAACCGAGAAGCTCATCAGTTAATGTTTTCATGACCTTAGTAATGTTATGTCTGTTGGGTTTGAAAAGCACTGGATAAATACTGGCTAATATAAATTAAGAACGACAAAGAGTAGGACCAGAGACTGGCCAATTTCAATAAAGAGCAAATGGAATAACATGTGTTGAGTGCTTTTGTTCGTGTATCTATTAATATGTATTCAGTGCCAGAAACTGTTCTGAAAGACTCACAGGTGAGGGAAAGAATGAAGGCCCTGCTCTCATGGAGGCCATATTTTAATTTAATGGAGTTCACATTCTCTTCACCATTGGTAGACAATAAACACACGCATACAGAGCATAATTTCAAGTACTGAGAGGTGCTGGGAAGCAAAATAAAACAGGACAGAGAAAGAGCGATCTGGATAGTGAGAACAAACCCCACATTCTCTGGGAAGAAACAAACACTAATTTGCTCAGCTTGAGTCAGAAGCCAAGTTTGGGACCAAACCAGTGGCCAGGAGGGTGGGGACAGTGTCTGAACCTGACAGCTGAGGGCCTACCACACAGCTTGCAGAGGGAGGACAGAGATGTTGGGCTGTCACCCCACTCTGCCCCCAGGTTCCGGGCCACTGGTCCTGGTCTGAAGGCAGGCAGATGTCAGCCTCCAAGAGATCATGGAGCAGTAAAGGATACAAACAACTGTGGGAGAGGCAGGCAGGCAGCATCTTGAAAATGCAGAGCCCATTAGTCAGTCTGACCTGGAGGTGCCAACAGGCACAGAGATACAAGTCCCTAGCAAGGCTTGTCCTCAGTTGGAATCGGGCCACGATGAAAATAAAATGAGGTCTTAGATAAAATGACTTACACTGGCGTCTGAAATGCGTAAGTTCCCAAAAAGTCTGGCTGTCAAAGTTGGAACTATTAACTGGCCTTTTCTCTCCCAGAGTTCAACTCATTCATCACTGAGCACAGAACCCGCTGTCAATTACTCTAAGTGCTTTGTATTTGTGAACTCATTTAATCCTCCGAGCCCCTTTAAGTAGGCGCCATGAGGCTCCTATGGTTAAGTGAGGAAACTAGCTTGCCCAAGATCCACGGCAGGTCAGCTGGGGGCACCGCGGGCTGGCCTGCCCAGAAGCCTGGCCAGCCAGCACAGCACAATACCACAATACGGCTTCCATCAACTCTAACAGGAGAGTCATACACACTTTCCGAAGGCCAACTAAAAAGCTTACAACAAAATGCGCCTTATTCCAGGTTTATATTCTTACGGAAGTAATAAATAATATTTTCCAAGAAAAATTTTTTGAATAATTAGTCAACTTCTGTCCAAATCCTGGGACAGTCTTCACGTACTAAGATGCACCGGAAACCTAGTTCATTCCTGCTTCTTGTGCATGATGGCTCAGCTCTCTGGGGCTCTGTTCACGGAGCAGGGGTCTGCTCACAGCTTCCGCTCTCCGGGGGGACAAGGGAGCATTCTGGATCTGAGTGGCAAAGGAATGGGAACTTCACAGTGTTCCTCCAGCATTAAGAGGTCTGTCCCAGAAGTGATGCACTTGACTTCCACCACCTTCCTTAATGAAAGAATTATTCTCTTGGAAAACGTATTGAAGTCTTCTACCTCATCAAGTAGCAAACAGTACAGCACTGCAGTAAGTGGATGATCAGTATTTTAAAAACTCAAATAGTTTAAAGTAACTCCTAAAGGTACTTAACTAACTCCCAACGAACAGAATATATGACATTAACAAAATACTGTTCTTATATAAACATAGTTGCAATCACATGAGAATGTGTCTTTGGAAAAAAAGGAAATAAGCAAAATGAGTAACAAAAATAATCATACTTACATAGTTTCAGATTTTATTTTCATAATTATCTTCCTATAGAAGCAATAATCTACATTTCCTTAACAACACATTCAATATTTACTCATCAAAGAACTGGAAAAAATAGGGAGGAAGCACAGATTCCATACACAAATACCATACATACTTTGCATATGTACAAATAAACTCAATATATTAAATATAATTGTAGATTGACTTCACTTACGATATAATAGAACATTGAGTATTCAATTCTGAGCATACTCATGCAGACTTCCACTTTGGTAAACGGGAGGACACGAGCTCTGGAAAAGTGTTTCCTGCTGTAAACACACGTTTCCCACTTCTGTCCACACTCGGGATAAAGACTTCTATGCGTGGAAAAACAAAATACGTGACGATGGAGCAAGGGCTCTTTCCTGGACACCGTAGCCCCAAGTCCTGCACGTGAGCCCCTAGGCGTGGACAGGGAGGGGGAGAGAAGCTGCACTTGGAAAAAACAGAGCCTTTTATGTTGTTTAGGGTCAGCTGCCCTGCTGATACCGAATGCGCTGAATCACTCCTCGGTTTTAGAATGTAAAAGTGACCAATTTTTCCAAGGCTGCAATGGCTAATATAGTCTTCAAACAAACGGTCCAAAATATCTTTCAAGTGCTGCCGAATCTGTTTAGACAGATAGTTGCTTAGTTCACAAGAGCATGAACATGAGATTCCTGAAGTTTCCGACTAGATCCAAAGGGCACAGCAGCGAAGGCGGGATCCTGGAAGTATCAGTGTGTCATTCAGGTACAAATATCTCAATGCAGCTTTACTGTGACTGTTCCAAGCTAATCTGTACAGAACTAGTGGAAACGGGCTGCTACCAGAACTGTGGAGGGAACTTGGGGAATCCAAACGCTGTATTTGTTAGTGTTTTAAATTGGAGCTTCAGTCAGTATTTCTCCCCACCCACTCCTCACCCAAGAGCACCTGCCACATGAAGATACCGTCCTGAGTACACCCTCCTATCCCTCGGAGGCAACCAGGGCTAAACAGCACTCCTTGTGACGGATCGGCCCTGGGCCCCCGGGTCTTCAGGGAGCAGCGAACAGACACACACTGCACTCCATAAGGCCCGGCTCCGGGAGGACACAGGACGTGGGGATGGGAAACCACCCTGGGTGGCATCTGCCCGCAGAATGCACCCTGCTGCTGAGCGGGGCCTCTTTCCACTCAGCAGATTCGGAGATAGGGCCATGCCACACAGGTGAAAAAGGAATGCTTCAAAAATCATCTTTTAGGAATACCCACCAGGACTAAACTGCTGGCAGTGGTCAGTCCTTTAAACAGGAGCACTTCAGAAACAATTCTGCCCTTTCAGCTAAATGTCTATAGCATGTGGCATTCTCCACGTCAAGTTACTGTCCTGTTACAGCTCTAAGTGAATCGAAAATTATTTGGGAGGGAAGAAATGTTCTAGATTGATGGAATTAGAATGCATAAAACAGTCCTCATTCGTTCCCATTTAGTCAAAACCAAGTGGATTTGGGGAGAGCCGCTATGTTTTTTTAGGGGGAAAAATGTACTTCAAAGAGGAGTTAAATATACTTTCAAAAGATTCCATTTACATGTAAGACCTTAAATGTATCTTTCATTGGGCTAAACAATATTGTAAGGCTCAAAATAGCATCCTGTACCAGTCTCGCCTCTGAAAAATTTTAAAGATTTAATAATTTAAATGTATCTAGTATCACTGGGAATAAATTTCCTTTTCAAAACGAAAGTTTAAAATGCTACCTTGTTGAACCAGTAAACTTCATTTTTAGCAGCAATTACTAAATAAAACACAAAGAAAACTCTCTAACAATAAATTTTAAAAGCCCAGGAGAAAAGAATTTCTATGCTTACTGTCCCTTTTGTTTAGAACATCCTTTGTGGCTTGCAAATTTAAAAATCAACTGTATTAAAATGTGACAATACATTTGCCTGTTCATTCTTGCCGGGTGTCTTAGAAAGGCTCTTATGGAAAGAAAAAAAAAATGTTTTCAGGTAGTGGGTTCAACGGGTGACTTAGAGAAATGAGGAATAAAAATGAGTCTTTATTAGCATTTTCAAAACCAGGACTGCAGCGACGTCTAGATCCCCTTAGACAAGGTCCAAGCCCGTGAGCGGCACGTCAGGAATTTCTCTTCCTTTCCGCAGAGCAAGACCCTAGCACAGGCCTCCCGCATACTCGTCCTCATCTTCCTCAGCGGCGGGGGCAGCGGCGCCTTCAGACTTGGCCTGTGGTGTTGCAGATTTCTTCTTGATTCCCCCTCCTGGAACCACCAAACTCAGGCCCAGCTTAGCATACTGTCAAGGACAAAGCATGTTCTCAGGAGCTGGACAGCCAGAATCTCAACCTGCCACATGTCACCAGTAGTCATCTACAGGAGACAGCTGATTCTTGGCCTCAGGAGAACCCATGCTACCTTTTAGATGGAAGAACAACCACAAGTCGACACTGCTCTGCCATCAGATGGCTCAAGACCATGACGTGACAGGTATGCAAGTGGTAGAAACAGCAGTTCTATGCCACATCTAGGAGCCTGAGATCATCGGGACACACTAAGTAAAGTAATGCTTGCAGTTACCTACAAAGTTAAGCTACGGACAAATTCTTAAAAAATAAACTTACATAAGCTTGTGTGAGAATCTATCAAGAAAAAAACAGTTCCTCTGTATACATCATTACAGAAAACTGAAGGTCTTCAGCTGATCTAATACCAAATCAAATCAACAGGGGCTCATAAATCTACTGAAAAGGGAAACACACAAGGGAGACCCCCAGACATGGCTCACGTTCTGTACACGGCGCTGTACGAAGCTGTTTCTCAAATGCAAACCAGTCTATTCTTCAAGACAAGCGGGCAAGACAGGGACCAGCTGCTCCGTTCTTACGGATTAAGTTAAGTGAGGCTTACAGAGTTCATTAATACCCTGCATCACACATCCAGCTGTCACAGAAGTGGGCCTCCAGCAAGTCCACTGAATTACAAAGGCCACTACCTGAGGAGCCTCTTTCAGTGAAGCCTAAAAGAAACTCAAACTAAGCAACCTATAGAGGCCAACAGACAGTCGGCAAAGTGAGATATGGAGCCCAATTAAAAAACAGACATAGAGTCAACAGTTAGAAGGCCAGATAAACAGCTGTAAACCCACATGGCTGACATGGAAAGTCTAAGCCTACAGTGAAATTCAGTGCAAATCCCACCTTCTTTTTTGAGCAGTAGCTGGAGGTGAAAACTAGAGGGGGCATATCTCACACACCCATAGGAGAAAAACTATCTCGCTAGAAGCCTCCACTTTTGAAGGGGAAAGAAAAGAGGCCACTTACATCATTGTCCATGTACTTGAAAAGGGGTGAGTTGCAGACCTCCGACACCTGGTCTTGGTCTTGCTGGTCATAGCCTTCAAGGAGCTGCTCCAGTGCGGCGCAGTCTTCACTCCCGCTGAACCCTGGAATGCTGCGGCGAGCAGTAGTCACACGTCTCCACCTGTCTCCCCCCCATTCTGCCCCCTCTTTCTGCAAACGTTTGGCAATATCTGGAGACATTTTTGTTAACAGGTGGGTAGAGGCCTGGGATGCCCCGGACACCCCACAATGCACAGGACAGGCCCAACAGCACGGAATTATGCACCCCAAAATGCCAGCAATGCCCAGACTGAGACCACTCATTTGAACTAGCTTCAACAAGAAAGGATCTTCCTGTAACATACAATCTGAGAACATTTCTTTACTCCTTTGTTGTTGTTGTTGTTGTTGTTCTTTATTTCTTAGAAGGCAAACAGAAAATCATTCAACTCATTCACTCCCACTAAATCCCCAGGAGAAAAGCAGAGGAAAGATCCCAACTTGTCAAAATCCCGCTGAAACGGAAGGGAAGTCCTCCCACCACTACGCAATTTATTAAAAACCAAAAACAGCTTCATGGCCAAGAATAGCTGCTAAGCAGTGACCTGACCTGGAGGACCACAAACCTTAAAACATTAACACCGCACGTGCGGACAGTGCGGCCAGCGCCTCACCTGTAGCTCTCCCTGACGCACCTCTCTGCGGCCACGTAGTCACTTCTGTGCAAGTGAACTAAGACTTGAGCGATCGTTTTCTAAAACAGAAGAGGGGATTATGGTCCAAATTTACATCTGTTTAGCAAAGTCAATCCCCTGACATCTGAAATTTGACTTTGAGAGTCATACAGAGACTTACAAATTCTTAGCAGCTTCCACAGGACATGTGAGGGAAAACATGCAACAGCACACAGAGTCAAACTCTACTGTGCACACGAGCTACGTGGGGTCTTGCTAAATGAAGATGGATTTAGGGACACTGAGGCAAGCCTACAATCCTGTTCCCAGGTGCCCCAACACTGCCAGTCTGAGGGCCACACTGAATAACACAACTTAGGACACCATCACTACACACTGTAAAGAAAACGTCTCTTAAATATCTACATAGGTTCAATCTTGAAAAACGAATGAAAAGGAGGGGGGAAGCCGTGAGTCAACAATAATACTCTGGAATTCTTAGATAGTCCGACAAAGATGAATGAACGAGTAAAAACTTTAGATAATAGGAACAATACTATCTATATGCCAACAAAAGCATTAGTAAGACCAAAGATATAACTGATAAGATCTTATTGGTAGAATAAGCTCCTCAAAAAGGGTTTTTTAATCTTTTCTCTCCATTTTTCAGGCAACTTTTATTGATCCATCTTTAACTTCGCTGTATCTTTTATCATCTCCATTATCAGATTAAGTTCATACAGTATTAACTGCAGACATTGCTTTTTTAGTTCCAAAATTCTCATTTAGTTCATGGAAGGAAGGGAGGGAGGAAGGAAAAAGAAGAAAGAAAGAATAAACGAAGGGTCCTTTGGTCTATTCATCTGTTTGCCTTTCTACCTCATGGACCAGTTGCAACAGCTGCTTCAAAGTTCTGAAGTTGTGACCTGGTAATTCCAACATCTGGGGCACCTCTGGGTGGGCATCCGTGTCTTCTCTTGAAAACTGGCCCTACTTCCTGGCTCCTTATGTGTGGAGCACTTCGGGACTGTATCCTGGACACCGTAGATGTTATGCTGCATAGACTCTCCTATAATTCTCAGAAGAGCGTGGATGTTTCCAGCAGGTAGTAGTGCAGGCAGGCTCAGGCTACAGGTTCCATCTGGTCTGGGGGGCAGCGGCCCTGGTCTTCAGCTCCTCTGCCCTGCTGCTGGGGCTCGGCCCCAAGCCAAGAGCCCTGCCAGGGTGCTGTGAGCCCTGGACAGTGGTCAAATCTTACTTCAGCTCCGAAGCCTACGCTCTGCTGCTCTGGGTCTGTGCAGCCAAGGCAGAGCTGGAGAATAAACCCAGGACTTGTGTCGGCACCTGCTCAGACCCACACTTAGGGGATTCCCTTCACCGCCTTCCTGGGTGTTCCACCTTGCTCTTAGCTCCTTGTTCCAGCTCCTCTGGCCAAAGAGACTAATAAGCCTCTTGGGTGTTTTATCTGCATGCACCATCATCAGAGCCATTGCTTCATGACTAGGGCTTACCCTCAGAGCAAAGACAAGGGAGAAACACGGGGTAGAGGGGTCCCTCCAGTTAGAAGCATGGGGTAGTTGGGTTTGTTTTAGCTGCTGGAGCTCCAGGGCTGGGAGCCTCTCTCAGGCAGTGCCACATGAGGAATAGGGAAAACGCTGGAAACCCTCTCCTGTACTGTCTGCTTGTCCAAGTGTTTACTTACCCATGCTTTTATTTTTCAGAGTCCAGGAATTTTTGTATTTTGTCCAGGAGTTTCAGTTGTAATCAGCAGGAGAGACAGACTGTAGGGGGCTTACTCCATCTTGGCCAAAATTATTTTTAAAAATACCCATGGAATCCAGTCTTAGGTACAAAGTTATGGCAATATGAAAAATTAACAAATATAAAGCCAAAAATAAGCACTTTCAAATCATACCTTATAACAAGTTGGATAATTCTCAATCTCCTTATAAATATTTTTTTCTTTCTGAATAGAAAGTGCTGCCTCATCAAACCTAAAGACAAAACAAAGAAATGTCAAACAAGGCAGCTCTAAATGACCTCAAGTGGAGATCACCTTTGTATTTGATAGTACACAGTTTAGCGAAAATAATGCATAAGGTATTTGTAGCTCAGTAACCCAGTTTCCATGAGCTCTGCACATCTGCTTATCGTTTTTGCGTGTGTGTGTGTGTGTGTGTGTGTGTGTATGTGTGTGTGTTTGAGAGACAGAGAGAGAGCACAAGCTGGGGAGGGGCAGAGATACAGAATCCAAAGCAGGTTCCAGGCTCTGAGCTGTCAGCACAGAGCCCGATGCGGGGCTTGAACTCACGACTCGTGAGAGCATGATCTGAGCTGAAGTCAGATGCTTAACCAACTGAGCCACCCAGGCTCTTTTAAATGCTCCCAATGGCTGTTTCAGGCATTAAGCAGACAGACAAAAAGCAGAACTTAAGGAGAAGATACTTTAATCAGAAAAGTTTAAGTCTGGTAAGGATCATCCATTAATAAGTGTCTATCCAATTCAACAAACTGCTCTGTGATCTTCCGTGAAAAGTATTAGACTAGCCCTGATTTCATCATCCCAGAGTTCTTTCCTTCCACTAAGACCATCTAGACACCATGAGGGCCGTGCCTCACAGCTGGGGAGTTCCTTCCCCAACTCAGTCCTCACCACCACACGCTCCACTGTTGCTCAGTAAAAAGTCGCTTTCATCCTCAACATTCACCGGTTTCAGTGACCTCTCCCCATTTTCCTTTTCTTCCATCCCACTCAGATGGCAGGATGAAGAGGAAAAGCACTGCTAACACTGTTCCCCAGAATCCTCCATGGGCCTCGCTCTCCTACTCCGCAGCCTCAATCCCAGCACACCCTCACCTCTTTGTACAGGCGTGTCACACCCCCGTCCCAGGACTCCCTACCTGGCATCTAACCTGTGGCTGAAGAAAGTGTGCGGGCCTCACCTGTCTCTCTCACCCCAAAAGCCAAAAGGACAAGCTGTCTGCACTGTTTGAATGCAGAGGCAAAGAGCTGTTTCAAATGCAAATTAAAATATAAAAATGTTAACAATTATCTTTTAAAAAGATAATTTTAAAATTATGCCTGAACAGGTGAGTCGCATACACGTGCACATACCACCCCCACACAGTATGGCATAGTTTAAGTCATATGAATTAAACTGAATTTCTCTGGGCGGTCCCCTGGCAATTTACTGCCTCACACAATAAAGAGCACTTGTCGGGATGAGCACTGGGTGTTGTATGTAAGCGATAAACCACGGGAAACTACCTTAAACACCAAGAGCACACTTTACACACTGTATGATAGCCAATTTGACAATAAATTATATTTAAAAAATAATAAGGCTCACTGAAGAAGTGCATTCTGAATTTCTAAAGACCAACTTGATAAATTTGGGGAACAAAGCCGGTTTATAAGTTGCACATGGTAGCAGAATTCTAAGACTGTTCCCCAAGATTCTTGCTCCTTATATACATCCTTGTATAGTCTCCCCTTGAATGTGGGCATGATTTCTGAATATGATGGAACTCACTTTTTTAATATTTTTACTTATTTCTAGGAGAGAGAGAGAGAGAGAGAGAGAGACAGCGTGAGCAGGGGAGGGTCAGAGAGAGAGGGAGACACAGACTCCGAAACAGTCTCCAGGCTCTGAGCTGGCATTTAGCACAGAGCCCGACGCGGGGCTCGAACCCACGAACCGCAAGATCATGACCTAAGCGAAAGTCGGATGCTTAACTGACTAAGCCACCCAGGCGCCCCATGATGGAACTCACTCTTATGAGGATACTAATCAACTGACTGAGTAAAGCAGAGACGGTCTGGATGGGCCTGATCTAATCATACGAGCTCTTGAAAGGTCAGAGATTGGAAGTCAAGAGACATGCTCTCACCACCCTTGAAGAAGCCACAAAACTACTATCTCATAAACCATCTAGAGGACACATGCCAAGCAACTATGGGTACGTCTAAAGATAAGAACTGCCCCTAGCCAACAACTAACAAGAAAATATGAGTGTGCATCCTATGGCTACAAGGAAAGGAATCCTGCCAACAGCCAGTGAGCCTGGAATGACTTCACAGCCATACTGGACACCTGACTCCTGCCTAGTGAGACCCTGAGGACAGGACCCGGCTATACTGGCCTGAACTTCTAACCTGCAGAACTATGAAACAATGAGTGAGTGTTGTTTTAAGCTACTAGGTTTGTTATTTGTCATACAGAAAAGGAAATTAATATAGTGGATAACATACATCTGTTTCATTTGTAATTATGACCATGAGCTTATCCCAGATCCTGTTTTATAAAACATATTACATCAGGACATTTAGTGAACATCATACCCAATTATACCATTCTAGTAGGAATCTTAACGTTTTAAGTTTTTCATATATTTAACAATAAAGGCTGTATTCTTCACACGATTCTACTTCCTTGGCAAAAAAAAAAAAGAAAAAGACAGCATTTCCATGTGCTCACAGCTATTTAGCAAAACAGCCATCTAAGAGAAATACTGTTTATTTATATGTGATTTAAAAAAATGATTAACTTGGCTAAAAGTCCATGAAACTGATACATAAAGCCAACTGTTTTCAAATGTATCTGGAAGTTATTCATAACTTATTATACTGGAACACAGAGGTACTCCTAACAAGATAAAATGTATCTGGTTTTGCTGAAAAGAGAATAAACTGTTTTCGATATTCCCATAATTCAAAAACAAAATAAAATGTAAACCCCACAAAAATTAGGTGCATATGACAGGAAACTGTCATAGGACTTCACTCAACCCAGTTTTCAGTGGACATCTCCCTCACAATGACTCAAAACACCTCCATGGCCTCCTGAAATCCAGAACGTATTTTTAACTACCTACAAAACTTTTTAGCCAATTCATATTGCCAACCAAGCTTATCATCACTCTAATAAACCTTGGCATCACAACAGAAAGGACAAGACAAAGACAGGAAACTAGTAATTACGACCAACTAGTACCTACCTACCCCACATACACACGCCCAGCTCTCCCTGTGTTTAGAATCTAGTGACTGTCTCAGCCACCAGGTGAGAGTCTGAGAGACAGCCTGACAAGTGGGGAGTCAGGTCATGTTGGGGGTGCTTAAATGACACAGAAGTCAGATTCCCCTCCTCACTGAGAATCAGGACAAAGCTCTAGAAAGCACTCTGGTTTTGGTTCACTGAGCACCAACTACACAGTATTGCCAACCAGCTCAGCTGCCTCAGAACGTCCCTGGAAGGCAAGGGAATGATCTGCTAAGTCAGACCAACTGGAAAGGCCTTTTCAGGGAGGGAACACGGGCACTGGTGTGGACTGATTCAAGGCCTCAGATGCAACCTAAACAAACTCTGACTCACTTCCGAATTATGGCTCTCCAGAAATGAGGGAAGAGCTGGAGATGAATGCCAACATATTAAACAAGCTATTTAATGTCGCTATACTAAGATAGAAACTATTGTTAAGTTAAGGTTAATTGTTACAGAATCGCACTAGTGTAAGAAAATATTATCTAAGTGTAACAAACACAAAATATCTGATGCTATCTGTATAAATGTATAAAATTACTGTTTTAGTTCTCTTAGACAACTGACAGTCCCAGTTCAGATTATAATTAAAATATATAGTCAAAATACTCAAAGTATCATATAAATTCTTGCAGTTATCTTTCTTTTAATATAGATCCTCCAGGTTTTTCTCACCCTGTACTACTGAATATCCTGATGGCAGTACTGTGACAGCTGACTTCTAACTCTTTCACACGATCCATACAGTGATAGTTTTCAAAATATCAAATTCCTTACCACCTGTGAATAAATTCAAATCAATCTTTATGTCCTTATACAACTTAAAAAAAGTATCCCCACAAAATATTTGTTCAAGACAGTGCATAAAATACTATTAATTTTTCAATGCACTTTTACTCAAAAGGAAGAAAAAAGCAATAAAACAGCCATGAAGTAAATAGAAGACGTACTGGTTGCCCTAGATATATAAATGTCCACCTTCTCAGCACTTCCATACCAATTTCCATGACTGTGAAGAAAACTTGGTACTTGGTCTAGAATAATGGTTCTCATTACACACGCTGCAAGTGACCAGTAACTTCTGAGAATGGTGGTGGCTACAACGGAGCTTTCCAGCTCAGCTGCCTTCTTGGGGAGCTCCTCCCCCACCTCTCCTCCAGGCCACATCCTTCCCTGTTCCACCCCCTAGAACCCAGCTTTAGGTAATCCCCATCTGGATAACAGGGGAGCGGGTGTGAAAGCAGAAACACCCAGGGAGGCAGAAGCAGAGCGCATGCCTACCCTGAATGGGCCTGACTTTGTCTCTAGCACCAACTTCACTTCTGAGGTCTTCAGTGGTTAAGGGGCCTCCGGCCCTAAGAAAGCTCTGGGGGTCTAGGGGGAGGACCATCAGACAGCTCTGTTTCTGTAAGAAACCCTTTCAGGGACTAACACGAACTTACTCTACCACCATTTATAAGTTGAGAATTGCCAGAGTTAGCATTCTAGTTCTCTGGGTTTCCAGGAAGCTAAGATAATTAAGATGAATAAATGCAATGACCTGAGGTTTATGTATAAGTTAAATTTTGCTTCATGGTTTAATACAGAAGTCTTAATTTAAAAACACAATAAAAAATACTATTCCATTTAGCCCAACAAAAAAATCCAAAGCAATGAAAGAAGGTCCTATAAAGTAGTATATCTAAATGAAAACATGCCAAGAGTTACTAATTCTGTACTAATTTACTCTGCTGCTACTTTAAACCTGTTTGAATTATAATTTAGAATATACGGTCTTCATGAAGAAAACATTTAATTCAGTCTCAGAAAAAGGTCAACAGATTCTTTAGTCATTTGTTTTTTGATTCCTTCACAAAATAGATCTTGGGTCTCTTCTGTCACGAAGGAAGTAGGGGCAAATTTCAATGAGGTTGTCTACATTCAGACTTACAGTTTTCCGAGTGTGTTCATCTTACATAGATCTAAACAACATCTCAGCAAACATAATTTTATTAATGACAGAAAGTGTCTACTAAGCGTAAATTTAATAAAAAACAAAGGAAAATCCAATAGGATTCTAGGTTTCTGAGGTCCAACTATTTATGGCTTAAGTCATATGTTTAAAGAATAAAAAAGCAAATAAATACCCTATTTAATGACAATATTTCACTGTCAAGCACCTGTCAATTTCCTTGGGTGAACATTTAGGATACCTTGTTATTTATGCCTATATAGCTATTTTTTCTCAAGAGAAACACATTATAACCCAACCAAATAACATATCAAGACAACTGCTCTCCCACACTGCTGAGCCAGGTTTTAACCAACAAAATCACAATGCATGCTACATTTTGGCATCAGATTTAGAAAAACAACAGTTTTAATATTTAATTCAATGTTCCACCTTTGCGGACATTACTCTTCCTAATAGGTAGTCTGGTGTGCCTATGGCTTACACCAAAAAGATGAACAAGCCATTCCCCACATTATGTAATGGTTCCAAATGTGGACTGAAGGTTTACATGGACACACAGGAACAGTTCTGGAAATCTTACCTGCGTCCTCGGACCAGCAATCTGGAGGCTTTTCCTAGTAATTCAACTGCCTGTCGTAAGCGTTCCTCATTCTGAAAGAATCAGAGAAAAGAAACAGTTGATTGCTTTAATCTAAAATCTTTTTTTTCCTCTCATCTTCGCAGATGACATGATACTCTACATAGAAAACCCGACAGACTCCACCAGAAGCCTACTAAAACTGATCCAAGAATTCAGCCAAGTTGCAGGGTACAAAATCAACGTACAGATATCGGTTGCATTTTTATACACCAATAATGAAGCAACAGAAAGAGAAATCAAGAAACTGATCCCATTCACAATTGCACAAAAAACCATAAAATACCTCGGAATAAACCTAACCAAGGATACAAGAGATCTGTATGATGAAAACTATAGAAAACTTATGAAGGAAATTGAAGAAGACACAAAGAAATGGAAAAACATTCCATGCTCATGGATAGGAAGAATAAATATAGTTAAGATGTCATTACTACCTAAAGCACTCTACACATTCAATGCAATTCCAATCAAAATTGCACCAGCATACTTCTCAAAACTAGAACAAACTATCCAAAAATTTGTATGGAACCACAAAAGACCCCGAATAGCCAAAGTAATACTGAAAAATAAAACCAAAACGGGAGGTATCACCATCCCAGACTTCAGCCTCTACTACAAAGCTGTCATCCTCAAGACAGTATGGTATTGGCACAAAAACAGACACATAGACCAATGGAACAGAATTGAGAACTCAGAAGTGGACCCAAAAGTATACAGCCAACTGATCTTTGACAAAGCAGGAAAGAATATCCAATGGAAAAAAGACAGCCTTTTTAACAGATGGTGTTGGGAGAACTGGACAGCAACATGCAGAAGAATGAAACTAGATCATTTTCTCACACCATGCACAAAAATCAACTCAAAATGGATAAAGGACCTGAACGTGAGACAGGAAACTATCAACACCCTAGAGGAGAAAGCAGGAAACAACCTCCTTGACCTCCACCGCAGCAACTTCTTACTTGACACATCCCCAAAAGCAAGGGAATCAAGAGCAAAAATAAACTGTTGGGACCTCATCAAGATTAAAAGCTTCTGCACAGCCAAGGAAACAACCCAGAAAATTAATAGGCAACCAACGGAATGGGAAAAGATAGTTGCAAATGACATATCAGATAAAGGGTTAATATCCAGAATCTATAAGGAACTCACCAAACTACACGCCCGAAAAACAAACAACCCAGTGAAGAAATGGGCAGAAGACATGAACAGACACTTCTCCAAAGAGGACATCCAGATGGCCAACAGACACATGAAACGATGCTCAGCATCCCTCCTCATCAGGGAAATACAAATCAAAACCACACTGAGATACCACCTCACGCCAGTCAGAGTGGCTAAAATGAGCAAATCAGAGAACTCTAGATGCTGGCGAGGATGTGGAGAAACGGGCACCCTCCTACACTGTTGGTGGGAATGTAAACTGGTACAGCCCCTCTGGAAAACAGTGTGGAGGTTCCTCAGGAAACTAACAATAGAACTCCCTTATGACCCAGCAATAGCACTGCTAGGAATTTACCCAAGGGATACAGAAATGCTGAGGCATAGGAGCACATGTACCCCAATGTTCATAGCAGCACTCTCCACAATAGCTAAAACATGGAAAGAGCCTAAGTGTCCATCAACAGATGAATGGATCAAGAAGATGTGGTTTATCTATACCATGGAATACTACATGGCAATGAGAAACAATGAAATCTGGCCATGTGTAGCAACATGGATGGACCTTGAGGGTGTTATGCTGAGCGAAATAAGTCAGGCAGAGAAGGACAAATATCATATGTTTGCACGTATAGGAGGATTAGGAGGAACTTGACGGAGGACCAAGGGGGAGAAGAAGGGCGGAAATGGTGGGGGAAAGGGAGAGAGGCAAACCATGAGAGACTCTTGAATGCTGACAAAAACTGAGGACTGATGGATGTGGGGGGGAGGGGGGGATGGGCATGGAGGAGGGCACTTTGGGGATGAGCACTGAGTGTTATGTAGAAACTAATTTGACAATAAACTATTTGTAAAAAAAAATAAAATAAAATAAAATCTTTTTTTCCTCTCAATAATTATTTGATTAAAAAGTAACAGCAATCGATCAAAATGGGCAGGGTGAAAACACCAAAGCTGTTAATCCATTTTATTAACTGTCTAGTAAAAAACTACAGTTCAATTGTGAGCACAGAAAAACTGAAAAGCAGTCACTGCATTTCTCTATTTTCCTACATATTATGAACCTAAACATTCTAAGGAAAAAAATAAAATTCAAACTTACTTCAAACACATTAGCTGTCTGCTGATATAACTGCACAGCCTTTTCTGGATCTACATTTTCTATAAGCCTATATGAGACAAGAAAATTAGACTCTTATGAGAAACAGAAAACTTGTTTTTATAAGGTCTTTATTAAGATAAAAAGCCAATGGCTCCTATGCAGAGACTGTGTTCTACATACTCACTTTCCAGCACGTTCCAAAGCCATGGCTGCCGTGTCAGGGGTGCCGTTTTCCAGATACATCATGCTGGCTTTCTCGATCAGCTGAACAGCTTCTGGTAGTTTCTGCATCTCCTTTAGGCAAAGGATATATGCATCAGCTTCAACACAAAATTAACGATCGGAAACTCATTTTATTCTTAATTCATGAAAGTAGAGGATTCAAAACATACAACAGATATATTTAAGATGAAATGCCTTCACATGGTTACTCTCTCCCGAGTTTATTTAGCCAAACTACAAACGTATCCATTAAGTTCTACAGAGTTCATCAGTGCTTTAGTTTCAGAAAAGCTCTACAACAGCAGAAACCAAAACCCTTGCTCTTGACTGTTTTGTAGGATTTATAATTCTCTGAACACTTACTGTATCCCTACTACGTGTGAAGCCTATGCCAAAGGCTGCAAACCGGCAGCTCAAGAGCTGTACCTCATTTCCAAGTTCATCTAGCTTGAACCATTCAGTAGTTTTAAATCAGAAACTTTCACAAAGGTTCTGTTTCACAGCTTCCTATTTTAAAGAAGTCTCACAAGCTCTGGCATCAGCAGGCTTGCACCTCCACATGGCAGGAGTGGGTTGGGGCTGAGCAGACATCCTGGGAGACGTGGCACCTCCTGCAGTGGCCTCATCCCTCCGCGCTCCCCACCGTCCTACAAGCCCAGGCCTGCCTCCTGAGTGTCAGTCAGTCCCCACTGCTCTGGGCTCATTGGAGTCTGCAGCTCTCTTTCATGATGAGTGCCACCAACACGTAAACTCCGTGCCTCACTGTGGGATCATAGTTCTCAGCATCCTATGCTCCTTACAACTATTATCTCCAAATCAAAACTCTTTTAAAAAGAGACGAAAAATCATTTAAAAGCTAGATATAAAGTCTATATGGCATTATTCTACTTACGGCTGACATCCTAGATCTCAAAGTAGGCTCCATGCAGACATCTCACAGGTTGTTCTCAAATCTGCCTATTCGGTCACTCACTAAGTTGACAAATTCTTTAGGATAGAAAACCTGCTGGTGTCATTCTTACTGACATCCAAATCTAACTTTTTTATTCTTTAGCTAAGGAATAAACAAGGATGGGCTGCCTTCCTAAAAGTTACACTATTTTATACTTTTCCCCATGTTCGTGTAGCGTGGCAAAATCATCAAGAGGAAAATAAAAACATGCCTATTTTCAGTGGTTTGTGTGCCTTAGTCACCTTATCACTTCTGCGGAGCAAACAGGATATAAAATCTAACAGCTGTACAACGACAGAATCTGAGGCTGCTCTCTCTAACAAGCGGTGTCTTCCACTCTGCCTCCTTCCACATCCTGCCGCTTCCTTATGAAGGTCTGTATGATAGACTGATGGAAGCTTTAACCCACAAAATTAACACCGGGCCACGTAGCTCAGGACCCCTAATGCTGCTGAGGACTGTCCAAAGGCATTTAATTTAAATACAAGAGCAGGCAGAAAGCATTTTCTCTTGTCTCTTCCCCTATCTACTAGGATTATTTTTCCTTCATTCAAAGCAGAGCCTTCAAATCCTCAAATTAAACCAATACTACTGCAACAGAAATGATGTCGAAATATCTTCTGATGAAGACTCAAGTTTTCACACAGCTGTTACAATATAAACTGAAGCTATGGGGATTATAAATTACAGTGCTCTAGCATTTCTGTATTAAGAGAGTGTATCCTATGGGGCGCCTGGGTGGCTTAGTCGGTTAAGCGCCCGACTTTCGCTTAGGTCATGATCTCGCGGTTCGTGGGTTCGAGCCCCGCGTCAGGCTCTGTGCTGACTGCCAGCTCAGAGCCTGGAGCCTGTTTCGGAGTCTGTGTCTCCCTCTCTCTCTGACCCTCCCCTGCTCACGCTGTCTCTCTCTCTCTCCCTCTCCTAGAAATAAATAAAAATAAAAAATATTTAAAAAAATAAGAGAGTGTATCCTAATAATAGGCACAAATGAGATGACACAAGCCACCTGGGAGCTTTCTATTTCTCAGAGGAACCTGGGACAGCACAAGGTCAGGGCGGACACTCAGCTCCTTTGGCTACAAGAGAAATTCTAGTTGCTAAGAAACTGCTGCTGCTAACCTGACCTGCATCACGAAATCTGGTTGCATGTTTTATCCAGAAAAGCTTTACTACAATGGCTACGTAACAGCTTATCACATGGAAGTACCATAATTTATTTAGGTATTTTATTATTAAAAATTTAGGTAAATGCCATTTTTCTTAAGCAATATATAATAAACATTTTTACACATAAATCTTTGCTATCTGTTTCTTTACAACAGAGTCACAGCACTGGAATTCCTGAGTCAAAGGCTATGGAAACTCTTAAAGCCCTGGATATATATTTTCAAAGTAATTTCTTAAATGGCATTAGAAAATCTGCATGAAAAAGTTAAATGTAAAGAGTACAATATGTATGTGGATAAAAAATAACTAGAAGAAAAACTAAACTCATCATTAACATTTTTGGGTGTTTCCAGTTTCTAAATGTTCTACAATGAGCATGTATTCTTTAAAAAAAAAAATCAGTAAGTAAAGATTATAAAAGTCACTGAGATTAAAAAAAAAGTTTTAGTAAAGCAGGAGTTCTCAAAACAAAGCTTCATAATTCAAACAGCTTTTACCATTAGGGAACATAAAAATGGAAAGGAAATTGTTCCATGTCAACTGCTACTCTGCATGCTTTGAGTAAGTGTCATAAAGTAACATGTTTTTTCTCACAACAGTATATTAATTGCCAACCTGCTTTTAAGAGGCAGAAATATGAAAAGCTGCACAGGCACATTAGCCAACTATTCCATTCAACAGGAATCAGAATTAAATAGCAATAGCTTAAGTATAAGGTTCTCTTCAATGCCAGCTTTTACAAAACAAGCAAAACTCTTCTTTCTAAAACCCAAAAGTGGGGCGCCTGGATGGCTCAGTATGTTAAGTGTCTGACCTGGGCTCAGGTCATCTTGCTGTTCATGAATTCGAGCTCCCTGTCAGACTCTGTGCTGACAGCTCAGAGACTGCTTCGGATTCTGTCTCTGTCTCTCTCTGTCTCTGTCTCTGTCTCTCTGTGCTGACAGCTCGGAGCCTGCTTCGGATTCTCTCTCTGCTCCTCTCCCACTCGCACTCTGTCTCTGTCTCTCTCTCAAAAATAAACCAACATTTAAAAAAGTTAAAAAATAAAAGTGAAATAAAACCCAAGAATAATAAAAAAAACATGTATTTGTAAATTTTTACTACATTAAAATGTCCTGAAGCTCTTAGGAGTAGGGAAATCTCCCACAGAGCTGTTTATCAATATGCCCCTGCTTACAAAGCTTAGAATCTGTTTATCAACAAGCTCCTGCTTACAAAGCTTAGAATCTGTTTATCAACAAGCCCCTGCTTACAAAGCTTATAAATGTGTTGTTCCTGGTTTACTCCATCAAGTTTTCTCTTAAAATTCACCTTTAAAACTCCCTATCTTAAGACACACAGAATGTACCCTTGGGTCCAATTAGCATTATTTTGGAAATGAAATCTTAGCACCTCTCACCTTACAGCAAGGAGACTTTCCAACCTCAACACAGATTTACTTTAACACCTTGTAGTTAATTCATTTTACCTACAGAACAGTTGTGGCACATTACTGACCTTCAGCATCATGCCAGCTTGCTCATAAGCTCTGCAAAGAGAATACAAGTTCTCAGATGACATCTTCATGAAATAAGGGGGAGGAGAAACTTTCTACCGCACATAGGAGAGGTGAGGTCACCTAAAACTGGCTCAGGCACTATATATTGTTTTAGGCTTTTAGTAACACAATTTTTCCTTCTTTTTATTTTTGTGGGCAATGCTGCCTTGGAAACAACAGATATATGAGTTAAAGGGACTTTATTCTGCAGACGCAAAATTAAGTAAAACTCAGAAAGGTTAAAGGACTTTCTGACAAACCTAAATCCAAGTTTTGAAACAAGTATGTACTCTCCACGAAAGCAGGAGAAAGCCTCCTTCTCTCCACAAGTACTATTAACTATCAAGGAAAAGGGAGGAAAACGTACTTGTTTTTTCATAGGTCATTGAAGAAAATGGCCCTAGAAATATCTGGTGAATTGAACTTAAGCACTGTATATCTTAGTTAGGAGTGACTTCTTTTCTAAGGGGCAGGTAAAAAACGAAACAAATGGAAATGATGATTTTATCTAAATCAATACAAAATAATTCACTGTTTATGGATTTATAACTTAGGAAAAATTTACTGACCTATGGAAAAACAGCAACATTTAAAACACAAACTACAAATACATGAAAACATGGAAAATATTTACTTACTTGGCAGCATGAAAAAGACTGAATGGATGTAACAAAGTTAAAATTAAGGAAAAAAACCAAATCAACAGTTTCTACAGATCTACTACTTAAAAAAACAATGTCAACTGCCCCAGTTGATTCCAAAAGACAAATCCTACCAACAGATGAAGCAGTCGTTTTATGCCTGTTGATGTCTCTTAAAACTACATGATTCACAAAAACACTGACAACAGTATATAGATTTTTAAGCTGTTTCCACGGTCTATTTATCTGAAGAGTGTCACTAACATGCAAGTTATTACATCCACAATTTCAAAGTGGGATAAAACAGACACTTTTTACTTAGTAAATGTTCAAATACCTCAGGAAAATTTACTCAACTACTTAATCTTTTTTCAAATACCTAAGGAAGACTCTATTTTAAAAATACTGATTTTATATTTTATACATTTCCACTACCTGCCTCACCCTTCACGCCTGTGTATTCCCCTCACTTCAGCCCAAGTAAAACCACCATCGAGGAAATCCAGATTCAACAGAAATAAACTCTCAACTACAGTTCTGCAAAACAGGGTAAACATTATGAGAAGTCTCTGTAAATGCTCCCTCAGAGTCTAAAAAATGCAGAATTTTCCTAATCATTTTCTAATTTAATACCACTGGACTCCACATGTAGCCAACTTCTAATAAAATAACGAGTTTTTGTCCAAATCATCAAATTGCTGAATTCCTCTGCAAAGGCTGAAAAAGATACGCCCTGTTATTCTCGTGAGCAACAGCTTCTCGCAGGCAGGCATCTTTTGCTTGCTCAAACTGTTTGGCATTTTTAAAAGCAACAGCTGAAACAGAACAACAAAGACAGACTTTCTAATCCATTGTTAAAAGACTTCAAATGAATCATTACTAAAATCTGCATCAGGTGGAAAGTATTAGAAAATATATTTATTTTAATCAAATACCTAAGAAGCTTTACAAAACAGTATTTATTAAAGCAATTTTCTTACAACTTTTTTGATAACCAGTAACTTATAAGTACTTTCAAAAGTTTGGGTTTTTTTGTTTTTTGTTTTTAATTGTAGACTACTGGTGATAAATCCATGCTACTTCCACTCAAAACCAAGTCTTTTTAACACCAGCACCTAAGCTTTGAGAAACTAAAATCGCATCAGTCAAATCAATACTCCCAAGTAGCGGATACTGTCACAAAGGATAGTACCTGACTTCACCAGTTTTACATTTAATAATAAAAACAGTGCTTTAGTTACAGCCAAGTCCATCTTTCAAATTATTTAGAAACTGAAGACCAATAAACACATTCAGTATTTGTGTAATAAACCCGCCTTATGTCACAATCTTTACATAAATGCCCAAAACATTAATAATGCATGTCTTTTAAATAAAGCTTTTACACTGTTCATAAGTTTCTGTGAAAATGACATTTCTATTGTCCAAAGAGCTAAAGTATATTGCTTACTGTTACAGAGTATCATCATCAGAGCAAAACAATTAGGAATGGCCCTAAAATAAAATCTTACAGACTTGGGAAAACTTGCCAACAATTGCTTACAAATTAGTAACAAAGGATACTGTTTTTAAAAAATTATTTGTTAAAATCAAACTCTTAAAATTCTCTTCAATAAAATGTTGAAAACAAACAAACTACCGAACTATTTTCATCCCTGGACTTGCACATTTTGCTTTTTAAAAATTTATTCTACTGATTGAATGTATTTTGTATAATCCCTTAAAGAAACAAAGGATGATTTAATGGCAAAATAGGACCTGAAATATGTATCTGTGAAAGCAACTCATGGTCTCAGATGCGTATAAAACAAATCTGTGTTAAATTTCCCTCATGAGATTTGCAAAATACTGTGTCCTCCAGTTACAAAAGCATTCTTGCACAGAATCCCCATGAGGTTTGATCTGAATAACTTTCCTTTTAAATATAACATAAATAATGGGCATAATTCAACAGATAGAATTTACTCAGGATTTCAATGAAAGTGTTAAAGACTCATTAGTTTTTTATTTACTGGATTTCTTTATTCTTTGGTGATATACTAAAACTTAAGTCTATCCAAAGCACTTTCCATAGGTGGGCTCTACATTTGACTAACCAACGTGATCCAACCTGTGGCTGAAACACAACTGCAAATGTATTCAGAGCACTTCAAAAATTGCCTTATGCTTTGTATCCAAAACATGTTGAAAGCTATCATTCCATAACTAAATGCTAGATTTTTGATAAAGTCCCTCTCTGCTGCATACTGCAGATCATTTTTATCTAAGGTACAGATACATTTATTCAAAGATTTTATACAGCTTAATACTTCATGTATCAGTATATCTCAACAGTGTGGCTCTTAAAAAAACATATGCCAACCAAACACAAGATTGGCAGATATACTCAGATTAAGGCTAAGTTTTTTAAAAAGTTAAGAAAAATATTTATTCAATTATAGGAAGCACAATAGAGAGATACAGCAAAAAAAACTCCTGGAAGTAGCAAGCAACTGACTGAAGTTCAAGCATATACAAACAATGCGAAAACCCTGCAGCTTTGCACGGCCAACCCCATCCAACTGCTGTCAGGAGAGAGAGCTGCAGGGAATGGGATCTCTCACTCAGTCCTCAACATACCTGAAAATAACAAGTGAAAACAAAACAAGGGTTTGGGCTTTTTTTTTTAACTATTAAAATCTTACAGACAGCATCAAGTGTTAAGTACTTCCCCGAGGAGAAGTTACCAGCCTCTGTTAGGATTATAAATTGGGGTTACAAGACAACAGACAGTCTCACATACCTGCTTTTCCATATTCAGAAGCGGCACTGTCATAATCTGGCTTCCATTTTAAAAAACCAGTTTTCAGGCTAAAATAAAATGAAGACACAAGTTACCAACCACATGTATAAATCAGAACCCTGCTTTAATGACTTTATAGGTGATTTCAAAAACCAGCAACAGGGAGCCTGGGTGGCTCAGTCAGTTGGGTGTCCGACTTCGGCTCAGGTCATGATACTGCAGCTTGTGAGTTCGAGCCCCATGTCGGACTTTATGCTGGCAGCTCAGAACCTGGAGCCTCCTTTAGATTTTGTGTCTCCCTTCTCTCTGCTCCTCCCCCACTCATGCTCTGCCTCTCTCTGTCTCTCAATAATAAATTAAAAAAAAAAAAAAACGTAAAAAAACAACAACAACAACAAGGGGGAGCCCAGGTACAAAGTCCCCCTCTTGCCCACCTCCTCCATCCAAATTTATTCACAATGAAATACAACCTCACCATTTTCCCTTTCACGATCATAGATGTGGATTTCCTCCCTTTGAAATGTCAGTATAACATCCACATACAGCAGAAATTCTCAGTGTGTGGTCCCCAGACCAGCCAGAAAGTGTGCTAGAAATACTAACTCTTCCTGCCCCAGACCTACAGAACCAGAGACTCCGGGCTGGCAGCAGCAATCAGAGTGTAACAAACCGTGAGGTGCTTTAAAGCTTGAGACCCTCTGCAACACAGCACCAAGTAAGCAGCTGGGTTCAGGAGACCTAAGCTCTGGAGGGGCTAGAGATATTAACTAAGGGGCCACACCGGCTTATGCCACACCCCGGGCCTAGGTAAGATCTGCTGGCGACGCCACTGGCCTGGGTTAAGACCCGCTGGGGAGATCTTAAGACAGTAAGCAGAAAGACTACAGAAGACAAACACTCAGAGGAACAACACAGGGAGTCAGCAACACGGGTTGAGAATTCGCACCAGTGAACAGGACGGACAGTGAGAAAGATGAGGACGTCATGAAACAACAGGATCACCTGTTCCAGGATCACCACTGGTTCCTCAGATGCCAAAGCAAAGGACCATCAATTTTGAGTCCTTCCCTTACTTGCTCTTTCTTCAATACTTTCTTTTCTATTTTAAAATAAGCTCAGACTCTCACTTTAAAGTATCTCAGTGACTATCAAACTTGGGTGTGCATAAGAATTGCTAAGTAAATGCCATCTTAGATTCTAAATTTCAATTCAATTAGGAAAGTCTACTTACACAGAACACTGTAAGGTGCTTCAAAGGAGCACCCTAACTGAAAGATAGGTGAATCCCCTAGAGCCCTCAGAAGTACACGTTCGTTCTGTGAGCCCTAAGTTTTAAGCAATATTTTTTGCCAATTAAGTGTTTAACATTTGTGTTTTTGTATTTACTGTTATAAGATCCAAATGTGTGAGCAATTTTTCAAACTTACCAAGAATATTATTGCTCAGAAAAATAAAATCCTTAAATTGCAGCCTAACCCACAAAACTAGAGAAGAATTCCAATAAGACAAAATTCTAATCCTTCACCCCTACCCTAAAGGGTTCATTATATCCTGTATACTAACATAATTTTTTTTAAACACTTGGTTTATTTTTTTTTAATGTTTTATTTATTTCCGAGAGAGAGCGAGATAGGGTGAGCAGGGGAGGGTCAGAGAGAGAGGGAGACACAGAATCTAAAACAGGCTCCAGGCTCTGAGCTAGCTGTCAGCACAGAGCCCAATGCGGGGCTCGAACCCACGAACTGTGAGATCATGACCTGAGCCGAAGTCGGACACTTAACCGAGCCACCCAGGCACCCCTAAAAAATCTTTTTAGAAGTTAGAAAAAAGAGGAGTCAATAAGGAAATTCTGTTGATGCTAACAGATCAATATTCATAGGACTAAAACCCAAAAAATCACCATTTGCTTGAGGTAATTAATTAAAATTGCAAAAATTTAAGACTTGGCAATATTGAACCATATTATCATTAGAAAACAGAGAAAACTCAAAATCTGTCTCCTAAGCTCCTGGCCCATTTTTCCTGTCATTTACTGACAACTGTCTGGAGGCACTTCAAACATAACAAGCAAGCCTGAATCCAACACCTACCTGTCCCAGTGCTATCCCAACCATCAGGCTCATGCCTCAATATCCCCTATCTTAGCTGAAGATCTCTCTTCCATTTCATCTCTCCAAACTCTCAAAAACAGAAGAGTCAATGACTCCAGTCGAGTCATTAAAGCTTGACAATTCTGTCTGACAGATGTCGCCCAATCCTGCCCCTGCACTGTTACTTTCATTTGGATCCTTGACAGTGAAATCCCAGTCCCCTTTCCTGCCAGCTCTCCTCTTCCATTCCCCACACCCTGAGAATATTAACATTCCCTTACTTTGTATATCCACTGAAACCACTGCATACCTCTATTCTAGCACTTACTATCTTATTTTTACGCATCTGTCGACTTGTATGCCCACCTGTGAAGTCTAAGCTCCTGAGCAAAGGACCACTTTTCATGACCTCACTAACCCCAGGGGCTGGGACGGATACACAGGACAACTTTGCAGATGTCTGCTTACTGAATATGTCAAAGTTCTCACTTTTCTCCGTCCCTGTCCATTCCCCATGTTGCTGCCACACCTCTTTTGCCAAAAATAAACCTAAACGGATCCTCCTTGGTATATGATCCCTACAAGAGCTAAGGTTCAGGACCATCAGAAGGGCAGCCCCTTCACAGTCGGGCCCCAACTTTTCTGCTCTCGCTCGTCCTCGGGCACTGCAGCTACTCTACATTAACTATTCTCCCAGCATATTTTCAGGGCTGTGCACAGATTCTGTCTCACGGGATTTTCCTTCCGCTTAAAAATTTCTTATTTTCCAGGCTCTGCTCAGAAATCACCTCTGGGAAATCTTCCTAAATTTCCCCAGACAGAATAAACTTCTCTCCCTATGCTACCAAAGCAAAGTTAACACAGCTTTATTATGGTCCTTATTATATGCACTGTTCTAATGACATTTTTGCGTTTGCTCTCACTAAAAAGCAAGATTGTTGTGGGCATCTCCCGCCCCAGGAGAGTTCCACTACCGTAGCCTGGAAGCAGTAATATGGTAAAACAGAAAGAAAGATCATGAATTTTTCCACTGTTCAAAACCTGGCGCTGCCATCTTTCAACTGTGCAGCCTTGGGCAAGTCATCATAAGGCTTCTCCGAGCCTCACCTCCTCTTCTGTAAAATGAGATTCCGCACATCCAAAGTTGTGAAGATCTCAGATTAGCTACGTGAAGCATCTGACACAAGGCACCACGTAGACTTTAATGCTCTAGAACTGCTAGACAAAAATTCGTTGCAGTAATGACACTGAGGAGGACGGGAGTGTTCAAAGGACTGACTGGGCAGAATCAGTTCAGGTCCGCAAATACTTGTTGGATGCCCACTACGTACCTTCTTAGAAGCTGGAAGAACACATAAAATGACTAAAAGGAAGCGCAACCCCCCAGGAACCATATATTGGGACATAAGAGGCCATCGCGTAACTTTCAGGGTACGTCGGTAGCTCCCTTCCCAACTCAGGGTCTTTCAGAATGCTGGTTTTCAACAAGGCGATTCTATCTCCCGAGGGGTCAGTTTTGTTGTCTCGAACGGGGAGGAAAGGTGTTGCAGGCATCTAGAAACTAGACGCCACCGATGCTGCTAAACTACAACGCCCAGGACGGTCTCCTCAACCAATCACCCTGTCCAGAGTGTCCCTAGCAAAAAGCAGCAGCACAGCCTCCAACCCGAGGACCCCCGAAGAAAGAGGAGACCACTTCCGGCCGGGGGACCAAGTCCGCTTCCGGAGGTGCAGCAGGCCCCGCCCCAGGCCGCAGCCCCCGGGAGGTCGCTGCCTGCCCCGCTCGCTCCCCCGCGTCCTCCCTTCAACTCCCCGGTGCCAGGACTGAGCGGCGGTGGAGCAGGGGCCCAGCGCCGGGACAGGGGCCCACGGTAACGTCTCTCACTCACTATTTCTCTGCTTTGGCTAGGTGCTCCAGCCCCTCATTTATCTTCTGAGCCGCCATCTCGAAGGTCCGGGCCCTGACGTGGAGGGCAAGAGCCCGGCTAAGCAGGCGTGGGAACGCCGAGGGGGCAGCCGGGACGGCGCGGCAGCCCGGGTGCTACGGGGGCCTGTAGGGCTCAAACCTAATGCAGCCAAGGTTGCTCGGGAGCCGGTCTAGACGCAGCGCGGGCACACACCGCGCAGGCGCAGAGTGCCAGGGTTCGCCTGAGCCTGGCGCTACTAGCGCAGGCGCCGTGGGCACTGAACGTCGTTCGTTCCGGCGTTCGTTCCGTAAATATTTACTGGACATCTATGTGCCGCGCACTGTTCCAAGTACAGCCTTTCTTTTCTATTCGTGTGCAAATACGTTGGTGCTATAATTTACTACATTTGTTTCAGAGCTGATCACTCATCCCGCCTTTTGAGCGCCAACTATATGTCAATCAGTAAGGAAAACAGACTATCCGTCCTGGTGACTGTCAGATAATCAGCACTCTGAAGGAAACAGAGTTCCGGATCGCTTGTAATGCTCAGGCAGAAATAATAGGCAGGAACACCCTTGGCTCAATTGATAACTCGCGGTGATTTTACAGACGATTCCTGCAATGCCCATGCAGCCTCTCAGTTTCTAACCCCGTAACTCATCCACTCATTCTCAGGATCATACTCTTGACCTTACTAATTACTAATAACTGCGTGTCCTACACTACATCCATTTCAAGCAGCCCACTTAATCTCCTCCTGCCATTCCACCTTACCTTTCCTAGTGCCAGGAATTCTTCACCTTCAACAGAACTCTCACCTTTTTCCTCTCCATCTGCTCTTACACACCTCCCCCTCTTGACCCGGCAGAGATTCTGTTTTCCTTCATTTTAGCTACTCTTTGGTAGCTAAACCTCAATCTCCTTGGCCTTCCCTTTGAATCCTCTCTCATTGTCTAGAAAATCCCCAACTCCCTACCTACTCTGGAACTGCTCTTGAGCAAGTAAATGTGGCTGGAGAAAAAAAAAACAAACCAGCATGCCAACATTTCTCATTTTAATGACCATAAACATCAAGGAGATCTTTGGTGCTTCTGAGCAACTGTACTTTATTTTCCTGTCAAATTACTCACCCACTCACTTGGATGGCTGTTCACACCCTTTTTCTCCTCAAAATGCCAACACAATCTCCCTGCTTGCCTGCCAACTCTCACTTCTTGTTTAATAGGAAATAGCAGTTGAAGAGAGATCTTGCATTTGGCCTCATCAGCCCATCTACCAATGATCTGTATCAGTTTCTGAATAGTCCGCCTTTTCTCCAGTGAACCTCTCCCTCACTATCCTCATGTCCTTATTTAGTTTCATGGGTATAAGTACCACCCACACATGGGGCCTCTCATCATCATCCCATTATCTAGCCTGAGCTTCCCTATATGAAGGCACAGCATTCCAAGAGGGTGAAAGTGGAAATCTAGGCCTCCTGGGACCAACTCAAAATCACTTCTGCCGCTTTTATTGGTCAAAGCAAGTCACAAGGCAAGTCCAGATTCAAGAGGTGGGGAAGTAAAGGAGTTGCGAAATATTGTGACCTTGACTTCCAGTTCACCATAGCTCTGGAGTGACTGCTTCAGTATAAGAGAACTGGGGCCTTTATCAGAAAACAGGAAAGTCTTACCTTTTTAAGGGAAATTAGACTTAACATCCACCGAGCATTATCAGCCTCTAAAAACCATTGACAGTGTCAGAAGGTTTTCTAAGGAATCTGCACCAAAAGGCTATAGCCTTCTCCTCATTCTCCCTTGTTCACACATTGATTGGCTAAACATTTTCTGAGCACGCCCTCTGCACAAGGCAACCTGGCCACACCCACAGGACACAATTGTAAGCAAGGGTACGTAGGGGAGAAAGAAATCTCTTCCTCTACCCAACTCAGATTCCCCAACTAGGGCACTGTAAATTAGACTGGCAAAGACAGACCAACAGGAAGAAAGCATACAGATTTACTTAATCGAAGTTTCACAGGACACAAGAGCCTTCCTAAGTAAATGAAGACCTGCAAAAGTGGGTAAACCTGAATGTTATGCTGGGTTTGATGAAGGAAAAGAAAGTTGTGGGAAAACACAATAGGACAAAGGGTATGAGTAAAGGGTCGTAAACAGAGGGAGGCTTAGCAAGGACTATTCATTCAGGGTCCCCTCAGCATCCCTGCATCTTCTGAGATAAGGAAGGTCCTCTTTTCCAGGTATAAGGAGGGCATGTCTCATAGGAGGGCTGATGGGTTCAGGACATGCTCCCCCAAAATATGTCACCTTGGTGTACTGAATGTTTGAAGCTGAGGCAGTTTACGGAAACAGCACAAGCAGGAAGCTCACTCTGACTTCCTCTGCCCATCACCCTCCTGCTCTGGAAACAGGTCATAAAACCCTCACGTGACAGCTGCCTCCTTCCACCTGGAGGAAAGCAACATCCTTCTCTCCAAAGACAGGGGGACACTAAGAAGCTGAACGAACAGGCTTTGCTAAGCTTCCCCCACTTCCATACCCTTACCTCCTGCTCTTTAACCTGTGATACTCCACTCTTCACTGAACCCAGGTTAAAAGTACATAGGTCTGGTCTTCGCGTCTTCGTTTCCTTAGGAAGGCTCCCATGCCATGTAAAACTCACATGAAATATACTGGAGGCTTTTCTCCTGTTAATCTTTGTTTGATTTGCAGAACTAGCCAGAGATTCTAAGAGAGTTGAGAAAACCTTTCTCCTCTCCTGCAGGGTCTTATGACCCTCTTCGGCAGAGAAAGGAGAGGTCAGAGAGATCTTCCTGCACCTGATCTTTCTCAAATTTCTTCCATCTTAAATTTCTAAATATGCCAAGGTGCCATATTTTGGGGTAGCCTGTTCTAAACCCTATCAGGACATAATGCCCGCTCACTTGGAATTTGTGGCCTAGGAGAGGACACAAATATTAAACCTACTTCTGTTAAGCAGCGACAAAGAAAGAATGGAAAAAAGAAAGAAGGCTAAGACATCCCCATGGCATCTGAGGGTTCTATGATCCCGAAGAACTTTGACTAGGGAAGTTGTGTAACACATGCTAACTCTCCTTCATGGGAAAGGGATCAAGAAGACAGAGGACAGGAACAGTAAGTGGGGTACATAAATATTCCACTTCCTTCTTCCGCATCCCTCCCCAATCCCTTCCTACATTAGAGTTGAAGTAGGGCTTGAGTGAGGGATATTAGGGAAGCCAGCTTGGGTGAGCCAAAAAATGGAAAGCTTGGGCCAACCAAAGAAAGATCAAAGAGTGTAGTTTTTCAAGCTAAATCTGGTGATATGCCCCATGAAAATAATTCTTGATATCACAGCCGCTACTACCAGCACCCCAGCAAAAGTGCCATTGTTTCCTTTGCCTTCAACTCACCTCCTGCTGCCTTGCCTCCTTCCAGGCTGTCTCTCTCCTCATCTTCTGGACCCCTTCAGATGCTCAGTGTCCCATTCATTCCCCAGGCTGGCTGCTGGTTCAAACAACCCCATCCGACTCATCCTTTCCTCTTATTCTAAAAATTCCTTCTTTATCTTGCCTCCGTAAAAATTTACCTTCCCACGTGCTGTACAGATTTTGGACGTGACTACAGTGATTTCCATCAAAAGGGTGAATGAGGCTGAAATAGGGCTTGCTACCGCATGGCTCTCTGACAGTAGGCTGTGGTTTTTGGGAGAGTTCTTGGTGCCCTTGCCCGTGCCCAGGCCCAAATCTCTGGGCTTGTCATGTGCACAAACCTCCCTCCCCTCATCTGGTCTGCTGCCAGGAAACAAGATTCTTGGGCCCACTGTCCTCAGCTGAATGTTCAACGAAATGAAGGGTCTTTGTCATTGCTTGGGAAAGAGATTGGGATGAACTCTATTTTGACTCAGAAACCATAAATGAGGAACCACAAAATCTCCTCCGTCACTGAGTTTTGTGTGTTTATTAAATCACTAGGACCTTGGCGGTGTTGTTTCTTAAAAATTTCTTTCATTTTTGTTTTTGTTTTTCAAATACATTGCTACCTTATAGATTACATACACTTCTGACCCTCGGCCCACGAGTTTGACCATGAGTCATAAAGTCATTTCTCTGGGAAAATAGATTCTGAGTTACAAAAACAAACAAACAAAAACTTATTAACAGACTTTTAGGACAAATCCCATTATAATTTGATGGATTCTCCTTGGAATAGGAGTTTAGAAAATTATTCTTGGCTTTTAGGGGCACCTGGGTGGCTTAGTTGGTTGTGCGCCTGACTCTTGATTTTGGTTCAGGTCATGATCTCACGGTTTGTGAGACTGAGCCCCAAGTTGGGTTGTGCTGACAGTGCAGACCCTGCTTGGGATTCTCTCTTCTCTTCTTCTCTCTCTGCCCCTCCCCTGTTCATACTTTTTCCTCTCTCAAAATAAATAAATACACGTTTTAAAAAATTATTCTTGGCTTTTGTTGGGATAAAACTGATAGATGCCATTATGATCCATATATTTGTTAATATTAATAAATACATTAATTTAAAAAATCACTTCCAAATCTCTATGAGATTCTATAGATAGCAATATGGAGAATTATTTCTCTAGATTCATACATCCAACATGTGCTCCAAAGCCCCACTCAGAAGTCTAAAACCTCAAACCCAGTGTGTCCGAATCTGAAGTCTTAAGGCTCTCCAAACCTGATCTTCCTCATCTTACCCACGTTGGGGGATGGCTCCTTTGGCCTGCTCATTGCCCCAGCACGTGGGGTCACCCGGGCCTCCCCTCTCCCTCTCACACAGCATGTCAGGAAATTTGGTTGACTCTACCTCCAAAGAGATATCTAGAACCCAACCACTTCACACACTGTCCACAGCCATGACTATGGTCCGGGTCCCCCTCCTCTGTTACTGCAGGGGCCTTTGGACCCGTGTCGCGGCCTTGTCCACACGGGTTATTCTCAACACAGCAGCAAAAGGATTCTTTTACGAGGTATCAGATCAGGTCCCTTCGGGCTCCAAAGACGCCCATTTTCACAGAGTGAAAGCCAAAGGCCTGACCACGGCCTGCATGACCTACCAGGACCTGAGTGTCCCCTGCAAGGCCTGCCTCCTTTCATCTGCCACCCAGCCACACCAGCCCTGCCCGTTCACCAACACACAGGCACA